ATAAGGCTTGGTGTGTGCCTTAGTAGGAAGGGGCAACAAGCCTTATTGTACCTGCTTCTTGGGGTCAAACTTTAGAATAGGTTGACAAACATTTAACTTCAGTTGTCTTGGGCAGCAGAGAGACCCCAACCCTTTCATAAGTCACAGCCTGTGAAACCAGATGGTCTAAGGCCCTGGAGTGCCCCTTTCTTTCCTTTCCTCCTCTCCTCCCCCTCTTCCGCTCTTCCTTCCCTCCCTCAATCCACCCTTTCTCTTTTTCTCTCTTTCTTTCTCTTTCTGTCAAACTCTATTAACCATCACCAGATATTTATTGTTACTTAGCAGAAATCACATCTCTTGTTCAAAGGAGGTAGAAAACTGCTTTCCCGGTGGTGCACATAGATAGGGACTTATAGCCAAGGGACGTGGCTGGGTGGGGAGCATTAGATATTACACTCTTGATCAGGGACAATTGTGTACTTCCTACCACTGCCTTCCTCTGACCCTCTGTCCCCACAGAACCCCTCCCCAGCTGTCTAAGGCTGTGACAGTTTTAACAGCCATGCATGCTGTGAGCTGAAGTTTGGTGAGGAGCTGTCACTCTACTTTGAACGTCAGCAGTGCCTGTAGCATGGGGAATAGGTACGGCCGAGTCAGAACTCTGAGTGTTTTGTCTTAGACCAACAGTATGGCTGCTAGTTAGATTATATCCACAATCCTAAAGCATAGTGTATCATTATGGTATTATTTAAGTAAGTACTGATCATGTTTTTATTAGATCCAAGTGAGATATGATGGAATATGATCTATATTATATCCTATATTGTCTTAATTTCTACAGGTGTGCACCCCCCCCCCTTACAAATGAATGGATTTCTTTTGAATACCAACACTGACAAAACCAGGAAACCCTTAATTTTTACAGGTGTGCCCCCCCCCCCCCTTACAAATGAATGGATTTCTTTTGAATACCAACACTGACAAAACCAGGAAACCCTTAGATAGGGTGCTGAGGGTACTTGATATTTAAAGCAGTAAGACTGGTTAGCCTTTAAATTCATTTGACGAGAACGAAGTCTTAAATTTTTATAATTTTAATTTTTAAACGTTGTATTAGTCTGTTTCTGTTGCTTATAACAAAATACACAGAACTGGATAATTTGTAAGAAAACAAAATTTGTTGCCTATAGTTTTGGAGGCTGGAAAGTCCAAAGTCCAGGGAACATAGCTGGTTAAGGCCTTGGTGGTAGTGACAGTGACCTAGGGGTCTCACAGGGCAGACAATGGCAGAGCAGAGAGAGAGACTAACCTCTCGTGTGCTCTTCTTTTAAAGCCCTCAGAACCACGCCCCTGACCACCATTATTAATCCGTCCACTACTGCATGGTCCTACAATCTATCACCTCTTCAAGGCCCCACCTTTCAATTACTTTAATAGGATTTCTCATCCGCAGCAGTTACAGTGGGGATTAAGCTTCACTGAGGTGGCGGGGTGGGGAGGGGACATCCAGTCTATGGCAATTGTGCTTGGTGTCCTAGGCAATATTTATTTTTTAAATTATGTTTTTGCAGTAGGTTCTTTTTTTTTTTTTCCTTTTTGTCTTTTTTCGTGACCGGCTACGGATCGCAACCCTCAGTGTCGCGCCCGTACCGGACCGGGACCGGCAATGGGATCGCAACCCTCGGTGTTGTGCCCGCACCTCGCTCAGCCAGTGAGCAGCTGGTCTGTATGTGGGATCTGAACCCTCGGCGGGAGCGCCACCACACTCCTAAGCGGCGCACTGTAGCAGTGCGCCACCGGGCCGGCCCTTGCAGTAGGTTCTATAACAACTGTATCCCAATATGAAAAATAAAAACTGACCTACTGGATGATTTTAAATGGCTTTTCTTGATTTTAATCTATCACCTTGTGTAGTGAGGAAGCACTGGCTTGCTTGTGAGTTATTCAGGAAAAAGTGAATATTTATACTATTTGATTTCCGCATTTTACCTTTGTATTTAGCTTAAGTCTTCAAAATAAAAATTGTAACACAAAATTCTATATGTTTTGAGCAATTTCTTCCCAGAAGCTTATTATCCAGCTACTTCGAATAACTTTAACCAGCTGAAATATAGTCATAAACTAAGAAGTCAACAGTTAAGACTTCAGATTCACTCACTGAAACAGTTTTCATCAATCGAGGGACTAAAGTCCAGGTACTTTACTGCTATGGGAAAGACCCTGGGCCTTCACTCAGAATTTATTCACTTAATTTTGTATATGATTATAAACCTTAATTATCTTATTTCTCAAATTAAAAGCTGTTTAGAAGCTGTCATTTAAGAAATAGAGAGCAACAAAAGACAGGAACAATGACTTGAAAGGAGCTCTGTCCAGATAGGAAACAGAAAAAGTTTTTGGGATACAGCGCATCACGTTGTAGTGTTTATGAAGAAAAAATTATATTGCGATCTATATAAGTATGTTCTACCTCAGAGGGCATGGAAGTATGTAATATATTTTAAGAAGGTCTTTTAAAATTCAATATTGTTTAATTCAAATTTTATAATTTGAAGCACTTTCCTTCATATGTTATCTGCAGAATACTGCACTTGCGTTATTCCACATGAATGATGTTAGTGTATTAGAAAGCTAAGCGATAACATAAACCAGTGGTTCTCAAACTCTTCCAGCCCAGATCCCTGTTCAAAAGAGATTTTGACTGAGAATCCTGGTAGGTAAAACAAAGGAAGGGGTGTCTGGTTCCATCGAGTGCCCTGGGGTTCCTGAGCCTACTTGGCGTTCTTCCCGTGATCCTCAGTGATTTCTTGGGAGCCTACAGAATCCCTGGAGCTCTACAGAACTTAATGCAGAGCATGATGTCAGGCACAAAGCTGGAGCAGGGAAGGGGTTACCAGTAAGGAAGGAGGCTTTTCAGACATCCTTAACTCATAGTCCATAAGAGGTTGCCTACCTTTCGAAGTGTAATTAACTCCAGTCTCCTTAGCATCACTGTAACTCTGGTTAGCAAGATGACTCAAATACTCCATGCATTTTCTGCAGGTGATGCTAAAGCACTGATCTGCATAAGGATATCCATAGCAAACCAGGAGGGCAATGGTAATTTGCTTATGGGCACTTTGTTCATGAAAATTTGCAAACGAGAATTTTATTATTGTTTTGATTGCTGCTGCTGCTGTTTCCACAACTACCTACTACTTCACGTTCCTGTTCACCCTTGTTCCTCCTCCTGGTCTCCTCCCCCTCCCCCTTCTCTTCTTTTCTTTTTAGTAGTAGAAAAGACACTTTTTCAGTAGTGTAGCTAGATGCTTTGGTTTCCCTTATCCTTTGTTAATTGCAAAATCAATTGATTGTGTTCTAGACCATGTTCTTTCCTCAGGAAGAGGAAAGCCAAGAGTAATTAAAGCATCTGCAAACAGGGTAAATAAGCCTCACTCAGTGGATATCTTCTAGCAGATTCCTTGCTGCAGTTTTGCAGCGTGTTAGGTTCTTTGTTGGTGCCTGGTAACACTGCGTAAATACCCCATGTTGAATGAGTGAAGCAATCAAGGGAGCAGGAGGCTACAGTTTCTTTCCTGATACCACCCCTTCTGAGGTGGTTGTTTGCAGCCTTTCTTTTAGCAGGAGTAATACAGTACCTTATTCCTTCTCACCTGCCTGCCACAGTAGGCTCAAAAGTTATACCTCAGCAGGGGAAACCACTCATGAGAAGGGGGAAAGTTGCCAGCAGTCTATACTAGTGCCTCCTTAAGGATGGGACTCAGAGCCTTTCACACTTGGATGCTTCGACAGGCTATTTGACAGATCGGGTTTGTTATAATACGTTTCTTTCAGAGCTCAAACACAAAAATTATTCACACAGATCCTCCTTCAGTCTGTCTTTTGCAGAGAAGCCTGAGTATTCCTAGCTTAGACTCTACATGATACTGGCAGTAATGAAATCTAAATTCCACCCATTCATCTCTCTCCCTGCAGCATGCTTTTTATTGTTAGAGAAAAGATAAACCATAAGGAGTTTTTTATTGTGAATTTAAACTGTTACTGTCAGAGAGCCCAAATTGTAAAAAACTTACGAGCATAAGCTCTGCAGCCAGACCACCTGGCTCTGCTAGGCCCTGATCAAATGACCTTAGGCAGGTCACGTATGGTGCCTTAGTTTTCTCATCTGTAAAATGGTGTTAAGAATAGTAACTATTTATAGGTTCTGCAGGTTAAGTGAATTACTATTTGTGAAGTGCTTATAAGAGCACATAGCAAGTACTATATTCCTATTAGCTGTTCTTGCTGCTTTTGCTGCTGTTATTATTACTATTGTTTCCTGGGCATAAAAGCTAGATTTGTCTTCTTTCTTTTCTGAAGATATGAGCAGAAACCCAAATAGCTTAGTATAGATCTGCGCTTGGAATAGAAGCCTAAAGTGACTGGCCCCTTGAAATGTAGACTCTTTGGTAGTAGGGAAGGAGAGCTTGCTTTGAACTTAGACCTAAGTTTGGATGTTGGCCCTGCCTTTTGACTACTTGAGTGAAAATGTAAACAATGTAAAAAAACCCCAGAGGATAATAATGCCTACATTATTAGGTTATGATACTTAGAAATAACAGAATAAAGATCCAGGTTTATATTATATGCTCAATATATAACAACTATTATTATAACTATGCTTTGAAGAGACAATTTAGGCTACCCCAACTCATGTGGATATGGAGCTACTCGGTAAGTCAAATGACTGTTGATGAAGTTTGTAGTATTATTTAATGTTTAAGATGATTATAACTATGCTTTGAAGAGACAATTTAGGCTACCCCAACTCATGTGGATATGGAGCTACTTGGTAAGTCAAATGACTGTTGATGAAGTTTGTAGTATTATTTAATGTTTAAGATGCAGTTTTTAAAATTTGCTTAGTATTAGAAGTAATTGCAATGTATGCTTTATTTACATATACTCTCTTTAAACTCTTCAGAACTCCTTGGAACAAAATGTTAACATTTCTTTCTTGTACTTTGAATTGAATGCTGTAGAAATCTGCTCTCCGGAGGAAGTGTGCGGTCTGTAAAATCGTTGTCCACACCGCCTGCATCGAGCAGCTAGAAAAGGTAAGAGAGCGCCATCTGCTGCAGTTTTTGTTGCACTGCAAGTGTTTGGTCTTCAAAGACCAGGTATAAATTTCTAACAACTTTTTAAAAATAATGTCCTTTTAAAAAACTGGAAGTGCAACATTATTACCAGATTAATGATAGAAAGACAGGGTTAAAGGTCATTCACTCTCTTGTTTGCTGAAGTATAATTTGATATCATTTTATGTTGTGTCTTGGGAAAAGGATACATGAGAGGGAAAAGCCTGGTACGCCCTAATTCTATTCCTATATCGTCTCTGTTTAAGTATTGTTATTCACCCATAGGCTCTTCCACAAGATGTTTCCTTTAAAATTCCATAAGCTCTTTGAAATCATTGTTTAGATATATCCTTGTGAGTTTCCTTCTTCCTAAAGTGGCTACAAGGAAGACAGTCACGCCTGAAGCCAGAGTGTCTTCTTTGGGCAGTCTTCCTGCTTGTGTGGCATAAATGTATGGGTTGGCCTGAAGTTACATGCTGGAGGTGTCTTGCCTTCAGAAGAAGTGGATTCTGCATAGTTTATTTGTTTGTCATTTGGGGGAAGGCAAAGGCTCCGATAGTGAGTTGTCTGCTGACCTCTTCCCTTTCACACTTTGGACTTCATGTCCATGTGTGATACTCTGTGCATTATCTATGTTTGTAAGATGCCACGTGTAAGTGCATTAAAATAGTCTGATCCCTGTGACATTCATTTACTTTACTGACACATTACCAGTGCTTGCCAACTGATACCTTGTGTCAATGACTACTAAGATTTTATCTTAATGTTTCCTTTCCCAACCCCACTTACTCATCTTCTCCTTTAGTTCTATGCACTTTTCACTTTATCCAGTAGCTAAAGAAGATGTAAATGCTCTGACCAGGAGACCTCCCCATCTAAAAGAAAATATCCTTTTATAAAGAATATTTTTTTTGTTTGTGTTTGAATAATCATCATAATGTTAAAGATTTTTCCAGTGTATATTTTCTACTTTTAAAATCTGAAACCCAGCTGGATGATTTTATCTGCCATATATTTTTCCTCTGACTCTTATCTCAGTTTCTCAGATTTGTGGTGTTAAGAGCATTATGTTTAAAGATACTTTGATTTCATCAGTGAGACTGAAGGAACATAAATTAGAGATACAGATAGAATCACCTGAGATCTCTGGAAATATGTAATGTGATAATTTCAAAAGACTAAGAATAGTATTAAACTTTGTTCCTTATTCTTTGAGGGTTTTGTTTTGTAGTCTCAATATCTGTCACTGTTGTTTCTTACAGGTAACTCAATCTAGCTGATGCTTATCTACCCAATATAATATATTTAATTTTTTAAAAATTTCAGATTAATTTCAGATGTAAACCAACATTTCGAGAAGGGGGCTCAAGATCACCAAGAGAAGTGAGTATTCCAGAGCTCTATTTCAAATACAATCCTCAGTTTCCCATTGATTCATTGGATTCATAGATATTCACAGGGGTTAAAAAATAAATCCCATCTCCCTCCATTCCATATCAGTTTCTTATTAATACATCAGTAAATACAATCAATAAAATCTCTTCAGTGTGTGCACACTGCCTGTTATTCTTCTCATGGCATTTGTCGGGGAGCTAAGGTTTTAGTGAATGAACCACAGAGTAGGGGACTCCCTCCATTCCATATCAGTTTCTTATTAATACATCAGTAAATACAATCAATAAAATCTCTACAGTGTGTGCACACTGCCTGTTATTCTTCTCATGGCATTTGTCGGGGAGCTAAGGTTTTAGTGAATGAACCACAGAGTAGGGGCAAGGGGTGGTGATGGAATTGAAGGAGTAAGAAATAGCCTTTTATGGTCTTTTGGTCAATTTTAATTCTATTTTTCAGTTTTGAGAGAGTATAATCTCTTCAGGGGCAGCATAGTGACTGCTATCTATAAGAACACTGGGGTCAGACTGTCTGCTTTCAAAACCGTCCTTGATGCTCTGTGATCTTGGGCGTCTCGCCTAATCTTTCTAAATCTTAGTGTTTTCACTTGTTAAGTAAGTAAATTCAGGCATAATCCTTTGTCCAACTTTTATTTAGAGGTGATGCCAAGCACAGCGCTGGGAAAGTTAGAGATGGTGAGCTGGGTTCTCAGCCCTCATGTGTTACTCTGGACAGTCTAGTTCCAGGCCCACAATTCTCTCCCCAATCAGCAAAACAAAAGCCTACGATTAACAGAACCCATCCTCCTTAGAATGTGGTTTAGGCCACCCAGCTGTCACCCACTGCCTCCCAGACGTTACCATATTCTTTGGAAAGTAATTTCCAGTAAGTATACTTTCTCCACTTACATTTCCAGTGAGATGAGTTTCAGTTCTACTTATAGATTTACCCCCTTGAAAATCTTCCCGGCTGATGTAGTACACAAATCAGCTCTGTGGGGTAACGGATAGGAGAGAGAGGGGAGGCGTCAGGAAGGGGCTTCCTGGAGGAGATGGCAGCTGAACTGAGGCCTTAGGGAGTTACCTAAATTGGGAGGTGGGGGGAGGTGGTTAGTGAGAGCCTCCTAAATGGAAAGAACAAGTGAGAGAGAACATAGGGAGACATGAGATCTGAGAGACAAGCAAGAGCTAGGTCATGAAGGTCCTTATAAACCATGCTACGAGTTGAGTGTTTCATCATCAGGAGGGGGGCATTAGACTATTTTAAGCAGATTAATCCTTCTGGCTGCAGTGTAGAGGGAGTATTATGTAGTTCAAGAGTAGTAATATTGGAGGCATGAAGACGATTTAGGAAGGTATGCTAGTAATCTAGGCAAGAAGTAACAGAGACCAGAACGAAGAGTACCACTGTTGGTGGACGGGAGTTTGAAGGAAACGAAATTGACAGGATGTAGTGTTTGATTGGATTTTGGACACAAAGAAAGGGAAGCCCAGAATAAACCAGGATTCGGCCCAGAAAAACTGACTAGATGTTGGAAAATGAATTGATTTGAGGATGGGATGGGGATGAGTTTAGCTGTAGAACCATCAAATTCGAGGTGTCCTTGTGTCCCCAGTTGGAGATGCTGAATAGCAACCTGAGTGGGTATGTGAGTTTGGAGCTTAGGAGGAAGACGGGGCTGCAGGTAAGACACTTGTGAGTTGCCAGCATGTATAGATAGTAATTAAAGCTATAGAAATAGATGAATGTGTAGATAGGAATAGACGATGTCTGAGTATAGAGGAGAATACAGACGTTTTAAAGACAGTTAATGAAAGAAGACACGGTGGAAGAAAAACCCCCCCAATCTCATCTTTACTGAATAATACAAGAGGATTGGGAGAAACAATGGAAGGAGGATAGGTTGTGGGTGGAGGTTGTGGAGAGAAGAAAAAACAGTTTTCCCATCAGTTGTATTCTTCCACTGCATCTGTCCAGTATGGCAGCAATAGGAAGGTTTTGGGTCATACACAGGGTGATGAAAGTGTGAGAAAACGGTAGGGTTGCGGGTGCCTCAGTGCCACCCAGAGTGCACCATAGCATTGGCTGGAAGAAGACTCCGTGATAGCACAAATGAAGGAGATGTTTTATTTAGGAAAATAGAATAGCGTTGTGTTCTTATGGTGAAGTTTATGAACTTTCACCCAGGGGATCCATATGTCAACCTTTAGCTCTCTGTCTTTCAATTTATCTCTCTCTCTCAGTGGATGGATGGATGGACAAATGGACAGACAGATGGATAATTATAATTGTATGTTCAGTTTTTCTAATGCAAGGTTTTTTTTTTTTTTTGGTTTTCATTAGTGTATAGCTTTGCTTCTCTGAAGCCATACGCTCCATCAGTGTTTTGGACACCTCTCTTATCTTCTTACTAAAGACTTAATATTTCTTCCTTTTCTACATTTTTAACTGCTTCCACCCCACCCCCTTTCTAGATGATTTCCATTGGCATAAACATGCTCTAATAATTTTCATCTTAAAAAACAAAAATATTCCTTAACCACCGTGTCTTCACTGCTGCTTTGATTCTCACTTTTGTGTTCACTGCCAAGCTTTCAGAAAGTGTTAAATATATAAATTATTTTTAATAGGTCACCTCCTACTCAATTTAACCTGTTCTGGTCTGGTTTCCACCCTATCCCTTTACTAAAATTGCCGTTTTCAACATTGCCAATGATCTACCTCATGCCAAATCCATTAGACATTTTTCTCTTCTTATTCAGTCTCTAAAAAATATTCAAAATATTACACATCCCATCCTTCTTGAAATGCTCTGTTCTCTTGACTTCTAACATCACTCTTTCCTAATTTTCCTCTTCATTGAATAGCCCTTCCTAATCTCTTTCATTTCTCACTTGCCCTGACGTCTACATCTCCCTCTAGGCTTAGTCCTTGTTCATCTTTTCTTGTCTCTGCCCACTCTTGGTGGAAGAGCTCATCTAACCTCATGGCTTTAAAGACCACACATGGGTCGGCACCTTCTAACTTGACCTTTCCAGTCTACGCTTGTTGGAGTTCTGTTTGACACGCCCATTGAATGCATCATAGTAATCTCAAATATAACGCACCAAAAACTAAAGTCTTTATTTCCATCACCATAAAAACTAATTTTTCAATTATTTTATACCTCAGAAAATGAGATGGCTGTACGCTTGTTGGAGTTCTGTTTGACACGCCCATTGAATGCATCATAGTAATCTCAAATATAATGCACCAAAAACTAAAGTCTTTATTTCCATCACCATAAAAACTAATTTTTCAATTATTTTATACCTCAGAAAATGAGATGGCTATTGATCTAGCTCCTCTATCGAGAAAACTGGGGGTCATATTGATTCTTTCTCTCGTACACTCCCCACATCTAATTCATTTCCCAGGCCTATTCATTTTATTCATAAAGTACATTTCCAGTCCTTCTATTTATCTCCATTTCTGTTGTCAGCACCTTAGTCTAATGGTGATCTCTCACCTTTGACCACTAAAATAGCTTCCCCATGATTCCTCAGTTTTCTCTTTCAATCTGTGTATGATTTAAGGGAGTGATCTTTTAAGATGAAATTAGATTATGCCATTTTCCAGCTTAAGACTCTACAATGGTTTCTGTAGCACATAGTGCAAAACCAAACCCTTTGTTTTGACATGAAAAGGACTGCGTGGTCTAGTCCCTGGCTTCCTCTGCAGCACCATCCAACTGCCGTATGGGCTGACTTTCAGTTTGTGGGGCACACACCCGGATGTTCCCCACCTTTGCGTATTTGTGTATTTCATTGCTATATGGAAAATTTCTTTGCATGATTAGCTGTTTCTTAGTATTAGGTCTCAGCTCAGATATTATCCCTTCAGAGGTTGTCTTAGTTCAGGTTGCCATAGACTGGCTGGCTTATAACAACAGAAATTTACTTCTCACATGTCTGAAGACTGGGCAGTCTGAGATCAGGGTGCCAGCTAGTCTGGTTCTGGTGAGGGACCTCTTCTGAGTTGCACACTTCCACCTTCTCATTGTATCCTCACATGAAGGAAAGAGGGCAAGAGATCTCTCTGGGGTCCCTTTTGTAAGGGCACTAGTCCCATTCATGAGGGATTTACCCTCATGACATAATTACCTTCCAAAGGCCAACCTCCTAATACCATCATATTAGGAGCTAGGATTTCAACATATGAATTTTTGGGGGGGCGGGGCACAGACATCAGTCCATTGCAGAGTATCCCTTGATGACCACCTTTAAATTGATAGCACATTGTTCTTTATCAAATCACCTTGTTCAGCTCCTTCAGAACACTTTCTATGTCATAATTATTTATGCATATTACTGTTTGCTTGTCTAACAATGTCTCCCTCCTTTAATATAAGCTCTGGGTGTTCACTCATGGAATTTGTCCCAAATTCATTGTGCTAGAACAGAGTATATAATCAATGAATATCCGCTGTCTGAATGCATTTGCAAAAGACTCCATTTCTCCCATATGTTTAAGAACTCTTGGTCTAAGAGGACATTTTGAAAATGAAACTTGTAACCTACCATGAGCCATTTGAGATTCTAATTCAAAGTCTTTAGTTAGTTTACTTAATGCAAATAAAAGAACATTCACTTTGGAATTAGTTTGACCTGCATTGAAATTATGCCTCTATTCCTTTTCTACTGGAAGAGCTGAGATTTTTGGTCACTGTACCCCACTATTATATAGTACCTGACATGTGGCAATTTTTAAATGAATATTTGTTGGATTCCTCTAAGTTGAATCTTCCTGGACCTCAGTTTTCTTAGTCTAGTCGAAAGCTATATGGATTGGGTTTTGATTTCTAAGATCCTTTCAAGCACTCTATGAATAATATTTTGAATTGAATTGGCTGTTTGAAAATAACTGAGCAAATTATGTTATGTATTTCTGCTAATAATACTGAATATAAGCCCTGAAATAATGTATCACTGATATTTTAACACCCATAAGTA